ATTATGATGCTGTCGCGTCAGAATGTTTGTATAAGACAGTGATAGCAACAATTTTATTCCTCAGATAACATTCAAGTATCTGACTTTTGTAAAATCAGCTCTTAATTTAACGTTAAAATCAAATTTGTAAAGGAACCGTTGAAAAGCCTCTCGGTCTTAAAATAATGCGTGCACATACATACGTGAATTACCGAAAGTTGTAGGCCGTATATTGAAATAAAATAACAGTTAATTCTAGTAAGATCAGTTATTTTACTTTTATTAGTAGGTATGATGACAAAATAGGTAGGCAATTAAAAAAAAATCATGAACGTAAAAAATCTTATTTCAAAAAACAAATAAATCCCGCGTTTCTCACAATTTTTTGTTCTGGAGCACGACTATATGTATAGCAAAAAAGAACTATTATCTCTGTCGAGACTGCCAGTCAGAAACAACAAGCTCCCTGATTTAATTAAAAAATAGTTCATTTCATTCCCTTTATATATATTTCCTCTTTATAGACACGCGCGCCTCTTCTCGCCCGCCTTACCGCAAGAAAAAGTTACCTCTATGCAAAAAATATCTATGGGAGTTGTAGGGAAGGTTATATTCCTATTTGAAAAACGTTGGTTTACGGTTAACGTTTCTTCGTTTTCGTTTTTATGGCGGACTGAAGACAGAGGGAGTTTAGGAAATAATGAGGTCTGGTGGCCTAATATCTGTGCCGCCAGTTCGTCAATGGGAAACCAAGCCAGTCTTACATTATGGACGGTTGGTGAAATGGCTAAATTGGTAAGTCTCTCTCCTCCACTCCATTGCAAAATAACGGTTATTCTAATAACGGTTTTTTGGAGTTACGTTGTAACAGGTGGGGTTTTTAATCTGTGGCAGTTTGTATGACAGTTTGACAATGGATTTTGGCGCGTTTAATATTGTTCGGAATGTTCCGTGAATTTTCTATCTTCTATCGGTTTGGATAATTAACAATATTTTCATGTATTTTTATGTAGTGGACGTTTAAAAATTGTACCTTAGTAAAAATTTTTACAATCAGTTATTTACTAAACTAAATTAAAAATCTTTGTATGTATTTTATACGATGTCTTTAAAATAAAAAGGCCTTTTAAAGAAAGTCCTTTAGTCCACCACCTAAAACGATAGACCTTAATGTATTTCTTTTTTTTATTGTCACATCTTGTTCTCTCTCTTTCTTTAACAAAGTTGTAATTGTTATTAACCAGTAGAGGCCCGTTCAGCATAGTTTACTTACTTAATTTTAAGTAAGGATCACTAATCTTTTCTAGCACTAAATATAAGCCTAGGTACCCAAAGGTATTTTTTTTTTTTGTAATAAGCTTAGTCGTTCAAGTCGTATAAACACACATAGAAAATTATTGTTCTTTACATCGATCACTAATAAAGAAGTTCTTTATTAGTGATCGATGGTTCTTTACAATTTTATTGTAGGTAAATTTTCATACAAAAACTTAATTTAAAAAGCATAGATAAAAATTCCTTCGGTATGACACCATTTTTTAAAAGTATTATAAAAATTTATTTAACATTACTTATTCACGTGGATTTACCGAGAAAGCTCTACTTATTTCAAGTCGCAACGGAACTCTTATTCATGAGTAGCAGATGCATACATTACCTAGTTAAAAATGCACCAATGGTATAATTTTAAAGCAACATAATAATTATCAGACCTATACAGATTTTTATTAATAATATCCTTTAACTAGACGAATTTACTTATCATATCAAAGCGTTAAAAAAGCAAAATAACTTCACATTGTTTTAGTGTACTATAAATTAATATCACTTGATAGGGCCCGATCAAGTGATATTATTTGATAGTAGATGAAATTGATCCAAAAAAAAAAAGAAAAAAAAATCCAACTAAACCATAAATAGGTACTTTTGAAACGTCAAAATAGAATAGTAGTCTGTCAGTCTGTCCGTCAGTGATTCTAGGTGCTAGGTTATCTAGACGGTGAACGTAAAAGTTTGTTGAGGTGGAAACCAAATATATTCTCCTCTAGGTGAGGTGCAAAGGAGTGTCAGACTTACTGATCAAAAATCAACCCGTTCCTTCTCGCAGTACATTTTTGCGCTTACAATCGCAACGGTAGATAAAGGCAAATTGTTAATAGTTTGTGTAGAACTTAAATTTAGACCTACAAAGAGACTCTTAGTTGACTAAAAAATAAAACAACTTGCTCTAATTTCGACATATATATACATATACATTAGGGTGTCCCAAAAAAATCAAAGTCGTTTTATTTTAACGCATACCCTCTAATTATATGCGAATGGTGCTAAAACACATGTAAATAAAATTTCATGTACATACCTAGAACCACGGTAACCCGTGCCGACCATCATCGATACATGTCAGTACTTTCATACTATGGCGCGTCAGAGTTAACATTTCGTAGTGCTAGATATTACTTGTTTCTTTTATTAGTTATTGCATTATTATCGTTTGTTCAAAATGTGAGAGAGATTACGAAGATCCAAAAAGGGGATTTTTTTATTGGGGATGTAAAACTTAAAATCACCGGGTCAAAACTTACCTCTAAAGAGCAAGTATTAGCAGATTTGTGGAATAATATTCGAGAACTGAATTAAAGTGTAAATGAAAGCGCAAATCGTAATATTCGTGAGTGCATTATTGTTTGGGAAAAGACACGTATTCCGACTAAATCTTTACCTAATTTTATACCAGGTTTGGCAAGATCTACAAAGAATGTGACAAAACCCAAGACATATTCGAAAAGCGTAGACAAGAGTTTGTTACAAACTTGAACAATTTGTTCGATATTGCACACATCGATGCGCTTCAATTAGAGATAAATTAAGTTAGGATCTTCTTGCAGCTCCAAAAAGAGCCAGGTATACCTGGTCACTTAGCTGGATAAAAAGTTAACCGACAAGGTCGAAAAAGCAAACTTCTTAAGAATAAAGGATCAAAAACGTCAACGTTTGCCCATCCCCACCGACAGCGTATATTCAAATTCTAATGAAACTTAAATGAGGAACAATTTCCTCACTCCGAAGTTAGTAGCAGTTGTAGATAGGTGTAAGTTGAATATGAGGAATTCTGTGTCTATTATTGAAGCTACTATGGAGGCAATTGGACTCAACATTGACGAATTTCCCATTAGCAAGTCTACAAGTGACCAACAGCCCAGATATTCCTTTATTTATTAAGGAATATATTCAAGAAGCGCATATCCTGGTAAGGTGCTTTAACTGCTAATATGCACTGCATCCAAGGTTTGACGTAGCATATAACAATGAACAAGTTGACACCTAACAGTGCCGCTTAGTCTTTGTTGGAAATCCTAAATTTATAGCTCTTAATTTTATTCTCAATTAATAAATGTATTATTAATTACCTATTACATAGCTCTCCTTCTCACCTTACCAGGATATTATGTGCTTCTTGAATATGATGCTACGAAAGCTTACAAAACAATTGGTTTTCTGTCAGCATTTATGGTATTTAATAGACGAAGTGGCTGTTTTGTGATCTGTTTGACTACGACGTAGACCACGAACGAAAATAAGAAGGGTTAATAACTTATCGAAGGAAAACCCTTCAGCTCGCAGTAAACGGTACATCCTCTCGAAAGAGGACTTATGTGATGCACTGTACGAGAAAAACATAGACGACTTCATTTCCATCAAAAGTAAGGCCTTGTTAAATCGTTTAAAAATTGATGACAGTTTTCTCAAAAAGTGTCCTACTTCTAATAATGCTGCGTTTGTACAATCTAAAAACAGATGATGGCACTAAGAGCTGTCAATGATACTGCAGAGAGAGCGATTAATTTAATGCGAGACTTCCATGGAAAGATTACTGTAGAAGAGGAACAAAAACAATTTTCACTACGTGGCGTAAAGGAACAGTGTTATATCCAGACTGTAAAAAAAAACTTTGAAAATAAAATTTTGTAAATAACTTTTATATAATAAATCAATAATAAAATAAATCAGTTTAAACTAGATATACGACTAAGTTAAAATAATACTTTATTTATTGAATAAAAGTGACATTCTAAAATGTCCTCGGTATTTTTCATACAAAAATTTTGTCAAAAGTTTGCCATCAAGTCGGCACGGGTTATCGTTATCCGATCCCAATGATATTTTATATTTTGGTTATTAGGGTCATTTAGAAAAAATATAAAGGGTATGCACAACTAAATTCGAAAAAAAATTTTTCACCCTTATACGCTGGGACACCCTAATATACATACACGATTCATAGCGGCGATCAGACGACACGATTCATCGGAAGTAAGAGACGGTAGAGCTCTCTCGATCGCCCGGTTTAGGGACAATAACAGCCTAACAGCCATTTAACTACCCAATCTATCGGAACTTAGGGACTTAGGGCTCGATGATGATCGATGCTTAAAATAAATATTTATATATACCTATATAATTGACCATCCCTACAACTTCGGAACGTAGATCGATACGGTACGTAAAAATGCCAATTAGGACTAATTGGGGTCTAGTTTCGTGACTACACGGGGTCACAAAAAATTTTTTTTGTGGGATCATTGCATGTCTGTGACTTAAATTTTACGAAATGGCAAACTGCATCTTGGCAACATCAAAGAACATCATAATGATTATATTAATTTGGCGCAAATCACAGTGTCTGAAAAAATGTGTATTAGAAAAAAGGTGAAAATTAACGTGATTTCCTATCAATATCTTTTTTAGCTAAAGAAAAACATTTGAGAAGTTTGTCGAATGGCAAAATAAGCCACTTTTAAAAGGTATTGATTCTTAATCACGTCAATAGCGACTACAAATAAGCGAGAAAGAACTCCAACATAGAATAAATCTATTTTTTATTAAAAAAGGAATCGTTTTTTAAAAGCTATTTCAGAACTGTAGCACAGATTATAATGTTCTTGTAGAGTCCTTTCTCGTACCAACATAATAACAGCAAAAGTCACACACAAATTGCTGCATGATAAACATGATCATTACAGGCATCCATCGATGTTTTCACCGAGTCTACCGAAAGAGAAAATCGAAGTTATTCAAAATTTAGGCATAGGCGTTGTGGATAAGGTCGTTTTTCTCTTTCCCAAACCCTGGTGGCCTGACTCGGAGACTTTCCATGCTTTCGTTTGGACCGGGGCTGACAGAGCAACCGTCCCTAAAGACGACAACTGGCTAACTAAAATCTTTGGGGTCAGCACGCCTTTGGGGTCTTCGACAGCTTTGACGATGTGGACTAGCGGGGAGGGTGCCAAACTGGTTAGTAAATCATTGCATGTTATTTTGTTTGTTACATAAACTGCTTAAATACAACTTAAGGTTTGTAAGTTCTCCGGTGTTAAGGGTGTACGCTCATGTAAGCCGGCCCATACAATGAGGCGATGAGTTCCTCTTGTAGCCCATTAAATAAAAATGAATGGAGGCTGCAAAGCATTGTATAAGGATTAAGAGACCCTTAGGTGTACTTCATTTTCACCCGTCAAAGAAATATTATTCTGAGTAAAAAAACTGCTGAATCCACACTGGAAGATTTTTGAGCCCAAGATGTTTATTCAGAGAATCGCCTATCCAACTTGTACGAATTTTGGATAAGCATAAGTTGTGTTTAAGTATTTGATGCTTTGTTATGCATGTGTTACACAATTTTCAAGATTAGATTACTAGAAAATATCTTAATTGTGTGTAAGAAAATAAAACTTATAATAGTCTTATGCTTTTACAAAATATCTTGAATAATGCAATATAAGAACTTCACTGTCTATAGCATAATATTTTTCATTATCAAAGCATTACTCTAACTTACTGCTGCATCTTGACACGGCATTAATGTACTTATTAATTATATATTATTCCTTAATGCCTCTATAATCATTAGATGTCTAATATAAGCTATAGACGTTTTTGTTGTATTTAAATTTTACCAAAAACTTTAAATATTATTTTTTGTATAAAAGGTATGCAAAATCTTACTTGCTGTATCTGTGTCATAAGAATTAGTTTGTAAGAATGGAATTTGTATATCAATGTTATTATATTTTAGGTTGAAACTTTACCCGAAGATGTGGTGAAGAGGAAAGCCATGGAACTACTGAGAAGGTTTATGGGAAAGAACAGGACCATTCCGGAACCCATAGCGATGTTACGGTGAGTAGAGCTTGAAAAAAACATAATTAACTTATCACACAGCACAGTTGCAGACTGCGCGGTTGGCGCGATGGCTGGGCCACTGGCTGCTGTGCAACGTGTCGCGGGTTCGATACCCGCACGAAACAACTTTTTGTGTGATCCACAAATTGTTGTTCCGGGTCTGGGTGTCATGTGTATGTGAAATTGTATGTTTGTAAACCCACCCACAACACAGGAGAAAATTCTAAGTAAGGCAAAGTTTTTAAAGAACAAAAAACAAGTTAGTCACGGAAAGTAAGCTATCAAGCGAGGTTCTTGTCAGTGTCTAATAGAATATTTTATATTTTTTTAAATCTATCATCTGGAATTCATACCTTACCTTACCTTTAAGATTTTTCATTATTTAATAGCTAACAAAATTTTATGAATTTTATGATTATATCGGTGAACATGTAAAACATTTTTTTAAAGAGTAACGTTGTAGTTTCTTGCTTTGTTTTTCTCCATTCGAATCTACAATTTGAAACGAGCACCTAGCTTCACTGACGAACTGAGTGATACACCACTACTATTCTATTTTGACGTGTCAAAAATACCTACTTATGGTTTAGTTGGCATAAATTATTTTGGGTTTGACTAATCTACGATATTCAAAGCAATTAGTACCAAGTTACAAAGAAATGCCCCGTAATTTTTTTAACAAAAATCTATCCCTTAATCTCCATCCACAGCTCATCATGGTACTCGAATCCCTACACCAGAGGTAGCTACACGTTCGATAACCTGTCCACACCGCAGTACCCCCATGCTAGGGCTACGTTGGCGGAGCCTCTTGCGGACAGCAGCGGAACCCCGAGAGTCCTGTTCGCAGGCGAAGCGACGGATAACACACACTTTTCAACTGTTCATGGAGCGACTGATACAGGATTCAGGGAAGCCAACAGACTTCTGACTAAGGCCAAATTGTAAATGAAATGTGCTGTTCTGATCTTTTATGGCATTAGACATGTTTTTTTACTGACAATGGATAGTGTTATTGACTAGGTACCGTTGATGTATGAAAGGCGTGTTTTTAAAGTGCCATACCCCGAAAAATTAGACATATATTTTGACCCCCATTAGTCACTGGGGTGATAAATTTAGTTTGTTAGTATGATTTTAATAAATAACCACTAATGTGTTTTATAAAGTGACCCAGTCTAGTTTCCGAAGTCAATAAGTAGTTAATAATTTTTAACTTTTCAATAAAATGAATTAATAAAATATTATCTATTTAATCTGATAAGATTTTTTAAAATGAAGTTTGCTATTTGACGTAAAAACGACGCGACGTATCATTATTCAATTTTCAATAAAACTTGTATGTTTTACTTTTGGAAACTACAATGTAACCTCTTATTTTCATTTTAGGTTTACTTTTTATAAAAAATAGCTCAAATATACATATTTTTAATACATAATGTCTAATGCCAAAAAGAAGCATATGTATAATAGATATACAATATTTTATACACTTGAATTATATTGTACCTACTTTGTGAGTTTATATCAATAATTATAAATGAAATTAATATATTATTTATTATTTTAATATGTGTTATATAACCCCAATAGAAATACACCCCATCCTAAAGATAATCCTTTTTAGATAATGCCCTTAACCCAAGCCTGCTTATTATAAAACAATAAAAATTATCTTTAGTCTAGGTTTAAACCATTAAGTCTAAGGTTTTGTATTTTGAATCTTATTCTAACCTACCTTCAATTTGAAATGCAAAAACTGGCTCAATGGTTTACGCGATATCCTGCGTGAACGACAAACTTACGCGACGTGACGCTGCGAACGCGACGAACGCGATCAACTCAACAGCATACCCTACATGCGGCCTATATGAGAGTCTGCGGCGAGACGCGACGTAACGCGCACTTGTTTTGAGGGTGACCAGATGCGACAACACGTAATAACATTTTTGTGTTTTTTGTAAAAGTGTTTCTTTGTAAAAATATTATATTTGTTTTCTTTCTGTGCTCTTTACGATATTTTTTATAAGTCTGTACTTTAAATATGAACTTACAAGCAAAATTGTACTGTACTTCTCCATGATTCGAAAAGTAATGGCCAAAATCACGAAGGACATTTGTCGCGTATAGCATCACGTCGCGCCGTGTTGCCTCGCGTCGCGTCGCGTTCGTCGCTCACGCAAGACACCCCGTTAGACATTGACTAAAGAAAAACCTTTTTTTGTAATAAGGCCGCAATAGTTTAGTAAATAACAATGAAATAGACAAAAGAACAGTAGAATATATTATTTTTGGATAGCCAATTACAATTATAATTATTATACCTTTTACATGACAGTTCAATCCAACGAATTTAGTTATGTAATGAATAAAATATTTCCTCGTATAAGTCAAGCACCAAGCACAAAGATAAAATGTTTAGTTACCTACATAACATCTTAACCCATAGTTCTGGGGTCATTAAACACAAGTCACAAGGTATTGTGGACTCCATATAGTCACAAAAGTGTTATTAGACCCCAATAGTCACATTGTTATTAGACCCCAGTAGTCACATTGTTATTAGACCCCAAATAGTCACAAGTGTTGTTAGACCCCAATAGTCACGATTGTTATTAGACCCCAATAGTCACAAAAGTATTTTAGATCACAATAGTCACGATTGTTATTAGACCCCAATAGGCCCAAGTTCTATGAAAGGTCAATAGTCACGAGTGTTTAGTTAGACCCCAATAGTCACAAAATTGTAATTATACCCCAATAGGCACGCGTGGTAATAGACCCCAAACAAAATATCTGTTCTAGATGATATAAAGCAATAAAATGTGTTTTAGAGTAAAGATTATGCGAAATTATTACTTTTAAATTATGGGGCTGTATAAACTACAACCAAGATCAAAAATAAATGTAATAAAATTCAAAAAATACAGCTACCCGTTTCACCATCTTAATTATTTTATGTTCCCGATAAACTTATGTGCCAGATACTAGATAATAAATACAAATTACATTCTAGACAGTCAGTTTCAGGCCTCACAGAAAACTGGCGTGAAACCACAGCGTTGTGTTTCGCCGTGTGAGTGAGGTTACCGAAGACCCAATCTTTCCCTTCCCCAATCCCCAAATCTCCCAAATTCCTAATCCCCAAAAGGTTTGCAACGCACTCGTAACTCCTCTGGTGTTTCGGTGTGCATAGGCGGCGCTGATTGCTTACCATCAGGTAATACGTTTGGTCGTTTGCCGACCTATAAGATAAAAAAAAACTTGGTAGGTATTTTTTGTCACTAAGTTGAATGCAATGAGGAGTGTGACAATACGGAGTCTATTATTTCATCACCATCATCATCAGCCTTTAAGTGCCCACTGCTTAGCAAAGCTCTCTTCTCACACGGAGAAGGTTTGAGCGTTAATCACAACGCTTGCTCAATGCGGGTTGGCGATATCAAACTTATAATTAGAGATTATTATAAGTTAAATGTTAGGAAAAATATTTAGTTTTAATTCCGCGACAAAAATCCAGGCTTGTTGCAGGATGCAATCCCACTCCTATGCAATCATGCATATGCACGTGCAGCAAGGGTCACATGCATATGAACACATACAAAAAACGGAAAAACATGGCACGCAATCAAACTTAAGCTTGACATGTGTTTTTTTTTGGAGTGGGATTGCATCCTATCCCATCCCAAACTAAATATTTTCCCTAACATTTAATGTCATGGGTTTCCGCAAAGTAACGCCTCATTCTATAAATTAGAGATTAAGTCCAGGTTTCCTCACGATGTTTACCGTATGTCTAAATAATCATAGAAAGTACATATAACTCGGAAAAAGTCACATTGATAGTTGCCAGGTTCCGAACCCTTATGCATGAGAAAACGGCTCCTTAACCTTAAAAGTATAAGATGGCAAATGAACAGACGAATTACCTGATGGTAAGCAATCGAAATCGAGTAACGAGTACGTTGCCGGCCTTTTAGGGATAAAAGTTTCGGCTATTTTAAGGATTAAGAAGGGATGGGGGAGGTTTTGGGTCTCCGGTAACCTTACTCACACGGTGAAACACAACGCTGTGGTTGTTTCACGCCGGTTTTCTGTGAGGCCGTGGTGTCACTCCGATCGAGTCGACCCATTCGTGCCGAAGCATGGCTCTCCCACACTTCTTTTGTTTTTCAGCTTATTGCATTTTGTAATCCATTACATTGTCATTCACGACCAGTTTCAGTGAGCGCGTCGTGAGTGATAGTATAGTGCGGCCAACATATCTTGGCGAGTCTGAAGTTAGCCGTGTATCTGGGCAGTAAACAATTTTGTTCCTAAAAGATCCATTGCGCAGACAAACGGCTAACTTCAGACTCGCCAAGATACGTCGGCCGCACTGTAGGTGACAGTAATAAAAGTCACGGTCACAAAAAGTCGTAGGTAATCTGTGGCGGGCGTAGTTAAGGGGAAACTCTAAATGTATCAAAAATATGTCATATCTTAATTAAATGTAAAATGTTTATCTATACTAATATTAAGTATAAAGAGGTAAAACTTGTAAGTTTGTATGTAGGGGGTAATATTTGGAACCGCTGGTCGGATTACTAAAATTCTTTTATTGGTAGATAGCTACAATATTCCTGAGTGCTATAAGCTATAAAATATCACGCTACGACCAAATCGAGCAGCGGGTGAAACCGCGCGAGAGTAGCTACTTAGCTAGTAAAATATATTGATGTTATATTTGTATGTTTTTATATAATTGAATTAATATTAAAATGTATGAAACACTATGTCGGTTGTTTTATTCTTAATTCATCAAACTTCAAGCGAACGCTGCGTTCACGCAGCTTTTGTCTTACTAAGTACTTATTGTATCTGGGTTTTTTTTCTCCTGTGCTCCACTGTGTCGTGGGTGCCTAACAAACATACAATTTCACATGCACCTTTTTTTGTGAGGGAAAAATCATCAGATGGCTTCTTCCGCTCAAGGTCAGGCGGGAGGGAGTGTCAGACTCTTAGGTACTGCGCTGACTAAAAACCCCCGTTCCTTCTCCTGCTCCAGGCCGAGGTCGCGGTGGCTTATTGCGCTTACCCCGCAACCCCGGCTGAACATCAGCCCTATAGGGCCACTTGTAACATGGTTCACTATTGTTTTTATGGGCAGACTCGATTTCTTTCCATAATGTAATCCGTCTGTACGTTGGCGGATCTAACTCATAAAAAAGGTGTTTAGTTTCGTCGTTTGAGGTAAGGCCCAATCCTACATACTCCAGTCTAGCCTTAGCCTAGAGCAGGAACGGGGGTAGTTTTTAGTCAGTAAGAATCTGACACTCTCTCTCGCCTCAGGCAGGGCAGACAAAACTCAATAAAACACAAGAATAAAAAATAAATTATTTATTTATTAATAAATAGAAGTAAATTGAATACACCTAATATACCTATAATTAAAAATAAGCATTTATAAGTAGTATCAAGTCTTAAAAATTATCTATCGATAGATTTGGCTACTATTTTGATTTTCCCTTATTACAAAACTAGATTTATCTTTTCGTCTAGATTTAAACCATTGAGAGCAGATTTTTCAATAGCCAGATAAATGTTATCTGAGGAATAAAATTGTTGCTGTCACTGTCTTATACAAACATTGTGACGCGACAGCATCATAATTATTCCCCAGGTAACTTTTATCTAACCATTGAAAAATCAGCCCTAAGTCAAGTTTTGTATTTAGAATCTTATTCTTTAAATTGAAATATATACAAACACTGGTTCAATGGTTTACTCCTAGACTGAAGAAAAATCAGTTTTGTAATAAGGCCGAATACGCCACATACAATTGACAACTAGTCAAATTTGATACGTTTTTCCAGCTATCATATTTTTCAATACTATACCAATACTAATATTATAAAGAGGTAAATTTTGTAACTTTATATGTAGGGGCTAATCTTTGGAACCGCTGGTCGGATTGCCAAAATTCTTTCACTGATAGATAGCTACAATGTTCCTGTGTGCTATAGGCTATAAAACATCACGCTGCGTTCAAATGAAGCCGAGTAGCGGGTGAAACCGCGCGAGAGTAGCTAGTACAAATATAAAAATCAATGCCACTTTTCGCTGTAAATCAACAATGCCTTTACCGATTTGTCTAATTTTGGTCTTGAAATTATTCGTGGAAGTTCAGAAAAGGTTTATACGTAGAGAAAATTAAAAAACAAAAATACTCGAAAAAGTGTAAAGTCCACGTGGGCGATCGCTAGTTTTCTTTTTTTTTTGTGTTATGGCAATAGAGTCTCCACTATTTAGTAGTTGACTATTCTGCCAGCGTCATGTGGTATGGCAGATGGATAGATATGGTTCTGTCGAACTTTATCGCTTCGAGGTATGTCTGCAATGTTAGTAGCTGAAAGACAGGACACAATTTGGTTAGTAACTAGTTTTCTTATTTATATCAGGAATTGGCTAATTTTATCAGTCAAATATAAATTATTTCAACCTAAAAAACTATTAAATACTCAAATATAATCTCAAATGTATTAATTAATTTTACGAAATCCTACTAAAATTATAAATGTGAAACTTTTTGTAAGTAAAAATTCATCGTTATAAAATATTGAATTTGACTAGTTGTCAACTTGAGCATTCCGTCTTTAGTAACAAATCAACAGATAAGAATATATGAGTAGCCATTATTTAATATTTAATTTAAAAATAACAATTTTAAAAATGCAATAAAAGCGTATAATGGTACCAATTAAATAAAATTACGCTTTAGGGCTGATTTTTCAATGGTTAGATAAAAGTTACCTGGGGAATAATTATGATGCTGTCGCGTCCAATGACGTATTATATATAGACACGTCATGAACCAACATCGCGGCGCTTAAAAACGGCGAAAATACTAGATAACTACTTCTACGAGTAAAGAAAGGGAAAGAAAATATGACATTGTATAGTGGAATGCCTTTGCTAGAGGGAGATAAATATACATCTTCAGTTACATCACAGGATAAGTAAAAATAATAGTAAAACTACATTTTCATAAGATGGCCGCCATAAGATGGCGGGCGCCGGCGTCGAAAAAAATAAAATAAAAATAGGTTGTTTGGTGAACTTACGCATGAAATGACACATTTTTGTCTTTAACGTTTGGAGTATAATTTGTACATCGTCTGAACACACACGACGGCATGCTTTCTTTATGTTTCGCACAGGCTTACACACACGATATAAATTCAAAACAAACGTAGCGTCGCGCGGCAGGTTGGTGCGTAACTAAGCGCGATGTTGTCAATTGCCTTCATTTCATGTTGTCATTTTAGAGCGCGGACAACGTATCTATAGTTTTATACATCATTGTGTCGCGTCACGATGTTTGTATAAGACAATGACAGCAACAATTTTATTCCTCACATAACATTTATCTGACTATTGGAAAATCAGCCCTAAAATAACTTAAAGGAGTAGCCAAAGCTGCACAGTCTACTAGTTAACATTATAAACGCGAAAGTTTATAAGTACGGATGGATGTGTGTAACTCTCAAGTAAAAACTACTGAACGAATTTGAATGAAATTCGCTACATATAAATGTAATTTTTGTGAGGGGAAAATCATCAAATGACTTCTCCCGCCCAGGGTGAGGTGGAAGAGAGTGTCAGACTCTTACTGACTAAAATCCCCCTGTTCCTTCTCCTGCTCTGGGCCGAGGACGCGGTGCCTCATTGCGCTTACCCCGCAACCCCGGCTGAACTAAATATAGGATAACTGGTAATAAGTGAGGGATATTTAAACACGTGAGTGTACTTATGATAACAAACAACTATCCCAAAGATAGGATATTCCCTACTATTTTTCTATGCTCATGCAACTCCTGTGCACCAGGATCTACAGTAGATACTTATATATGATAAATTGTGGGAGCCAAGCTTCGGCACGAATGGGTTGGCTCGACTGGAGTGATATCACGGCTTTAGAAAACCGGTGTAAAACAACCACAACGTTGTGTTTCGCCGTGTGAGTGAAGTTACGGGAGGCCCAATTTCGCCCCTTCCCGATCCTTATATCCGCAATCCCTATCCCCAAAAGGCCGGCAACGCACTAACTCCTTTGGTGTTGCGGGTGTCCATGGGCGGCGCCGATTGCTTACCATCAGGTAATCCGTCTGCTAGTTTGCCGACTTATACCATAAAAAAATACAACCATGAAAACACCGGAACACTGAAGTCCGGCGCGTCCCAGGGACATGAAAGACTGCCTTGGATCCCGCAACGAAATAAATCCGAAGACATTATTTGAGGAAAAGAAAAAGCAAGTTTTTATGCAAGGAACTGTTAAAAACATTGATATCAGAAAATAACTACTCTTAGGACCAAACCAGTAATAAGGCACCGCGGCCTTGACCTAGAGCAGGAGAAGGAACGGGGGGGTTTTAGTCTGTAAGAGTCTGACATCCCCCCTTACCCCACCCAGGGCTTGAGAAGTAATTTGATGATTTTTCCCTCTCAAAAGAAGGTCAAAGTCTTGCAGAAGCGAATAATAATAATAATTAGTTATATTAATAATTATATTTATTTAATCATCTCCGGCTAAAGCTGCGAATTTATTCGCTATAGCTGCTGTTTCGTTTTCATCTGTGCTATCATCATCGGCGTCAGAATCATCAGAATGCCTATCATCGTCTGATTCTGACGTCAGAACGTCAGACTTCTGTTCCTCTTGGTCTGATGTTAACGCTTGCACCCATCTAATGTATTTAATTTCATCGCAGGTTTCGTAAATTTCTGTAAAAAGAAAAAATAATATGTAGGTAATTAAAAAAAGTGTTTCGTCGTGTGAATGAGGTTACCGGAGGCCTAATCCTTCCCCTCCCCAATCCCAAAACCTCCAAATCCCTAAAAGGTCGACCACGGACTCGTAACTCCTCCGTTGTTGGTGTCCATGGGCGGAGCTGATTGCTTACCATCAGGTAATCCGTTAATTCGTTAACGTCTTAATACACATAAAAAAAAACTAAAATTGTTGGGCTCAGTCGTATCTTACTACTACTCTAATAAATGCGAAAGTTTCGATATTTGAATGTTTGTTACTCAATCACGCCAAAACAGCTGGACGGATCTGGATGAAATTTGGCACAGGCATAGGATACACTCCGGTATAGGACATAGGCTACTTTTTATCAACATACCACGCGGGTGAAGCCGCCGGCTAAAAGCTAATTTATTCATATTTGGCTTGGAAATTAAATTAATACCTATCTAGTATAATTCAATAAAAGTGAAAATGTTTAAAATTTATAATCGAATATGAACAGAACTTACCTCGATTTTCCGCGAATCCTGGTGGTCGAAGCCATAAGCAAATTCTTCCATCGAGAGCCATCCGAAGCAGGCTGTTCGCCGCTCTAAAGGTGTCTAACCTGTGGACAAATATAATTATTTAATCTATAGTCTATACTAATATTATAAAGAGGTAAAATTTGTAAGTTTGTATGTAGGGGGTAAGCTTTGGAATTGATTTGATTGGATTGCCAAAATTCTTTCACTGATAGATAACTACAATGTTCCCGAGTGCTAGGCTAGATAGGCTATAAAACATCACGCTACGATTAAATGGAGCCGAGCAGCGGGTTTAAACCGCTTGAGAACAGCTAGTTTAAAATAAAGCCAAAAATAGCTGAACCGATTTCGTAAATAATGGTTTCTTTTTGGCAAGGTAAAATAACGAAATGACTTCTCCCGCCCAGGGTAAGGCGAGAGAGAGTGTCAGACTCTTACTGAGTAAAAACCCCCCCGTTCCTTCTCCTGCTCTGGGCCGAGGTCACGGTGCCTCATTGCGCTTACCCCGCAACCCCGGCTGAACATCAGCCCTATAGGGCCCCGTCTGTGCTGGTCTATTGGCTCTTTGAGGCGTGCGCGGTTCGTTGACAATGGTTAGAGAATGTAGTTTAAAACTAGAAGGTCATAGGATAGGGTAAAGTAGGTAGGTGGCAACTACCCTGGGGTAGGAAGGAAAACAAGCAGACGGATGATCTGATGGTAAGCAATCCACGCCGCCCAGTGACACCTACAACACCAGAGGGCACAAGGGCGATTTTATTATAGAAGTCAGAGATTTGAGGATAGTAAAGATAGTAACTTATTAAATGGACTGCACGGCGCGGTGGCTGGGCAACTGGCTACTGGTATAGCGGGCTCGATTCCCGCACGGAACAACTCTTTGTGTGATCCACAAATTGTTATTCTCCGGGTCTGGGTGTGATGTGTATGTGAAATTGTATCTTTGTAAACGCACCCACGACACAGGAGACGATCCTAATGAACTTAAAAACAATCGAAATTGATTTTTTTAAGAAATAAAATAATTATATCGCTATGCCTAACCTTCTCCCCTCCATCCCCGTTTCTACGGGCGATAGCTTAACATCAGGTGGACCTTTAGCTCGTTTGGCCAGCTTTTCCTAGGAAAAACTCCCATAAAAATAAATTTATACATACCTAGCAGCTTTAGCAGTCAAATATCCTTTCTTCTTGGCCCACCCATCACAGATGTCTCGCGGAGACCATGTCTCGTCGCCTTCTGGATGCTCTATGCGAAGCAGCTTCGGCATATCCAGTCTTTCCGCTAAATACCTAGGAAATAATAAATCTATACTATCTATACTTATAATAAATCTGTAGTGAGGTCAATTCTGTACATTAAATATATTATTTTCAAAATAACTATCAGGGGATGATAAGTGATCGATACTAATGCCAAAAATGTAATTTGTATAATTTTCGCCTGTCTGTCTGTCTGTCTGTATGTTCCTTATAGAAACAAAAACTACTCGACAGATTTTAACGAAACTTTTTGCAATTAGTCGTCATATATCTGGGCAGGTTATAGGATACTTTTTATCACGCTACAAATAAAAGGAGCAGAGCTTTCTAGTTTAACAATAAGAGTCCCGGTATGACTTGAAACTAGTCGAACATTACTCGATTTGTTTCTTTAATTTAGTTTGTTATCTTACTAATATTATAAATGCTAAAGTAACGATGTTTGGTTGTTTGTTACTCAACGCCAAAACGGCTGGTCGCATCTGGATGAAATTTGGCACAGGCATAGGATACATTCCGGAATAGGACATAGGCTACATTTTATCAAAATACCGAGCGGACGAAGCCGCGGGCGGTAGAGTAAACTAAATATTAATCGACTTACCTTATGGTAGTGTAGGGTTCCCGAAGTTGGGCTATGGGGTAAGAGCCCATGAGTATTTGTATCGGCCGGGGAACGGTCGAGGGGAACACCAAACCGGGACAGTCGCATAGACGGACCTGTCGGGAAACAAGGATCATATTTATATATTTTATATTTATATTTATATTTATTTATATTTAAACATGAAACCTAATGTCGGAAAAGAAGCTTAAAACCGGTCACGACGCTTATTTACGGACACGAAAACGAATACTGCCACGAAATCTAAATCTAGACAAGCCTTATAATGGCCACAGGGCCTAATTAAAGGCAGAAAGCCTAATACCGGCCAAGAAGCCTAACTCCAGCCACGACGCCTATCACCGGCCAAGGAGCCTAACTGCAACCACGACGCAATGATCATAGAATGAAACCGGCCACGACACAATACGACCAAGTAGCCTAAATATATACAAGAAGCTTAACTTCACCCGGAAATCTATTACGGACATGAGACCTAATTGGTAAAAGCGTAATACTGGTCACTAAACCTAACACCGGCCAAGAAACCTGAAACTGGTCACGACGCCTAACTTCTACTTAATACGACCAAGAAGCCTAATTTCAGGCAATGATCCTTATACCGGCCAAGAAGCCTAACACCGGCCAAGAAGCCTAACGCCGGCCACGGAACCTAATTCCGGGCAAGGAGCCTAATACCGGCCGCTAAGCCTAACACCAGGCAAGAAACCTAACACTGGCCAAGAAGCCTTATACCGGCCAAGAAGCCTACTACCGGCCACTACGCCTAAAACCGGCCAAGAAGCCTAACACCGGCCAAGAAGCCTAATACCGGCCAAGAAGCCTAACACCTGCCAAGAAGCCTAACACCGGCCAAGAAGATAACACCGGCCAAGAAGCCTAGCACCGGTCAAGAAGCCTAACACCGGCCAAGAAGCCTAACACCGGCCAAGAAGCCTAACACCGGCCAAGAAGTCTATCATCGGCCAAGAAGCCTAACACCGGCCAAGAAGCCTAAAACAGTCCAAGAAGCCTAACACCGGTCAAGAAGCCTAACACCGGCCACGACGCCTATCACCGGCCAAGAAGCCTAATACCGGCCTCGAAGCCTACTACCTGCCACTACGCCTAAAACCGGCCAAGAAGCCTAAAATCGGCCAAGAAGCCTAACACCGACCAAGTAGCCTAACACCGGTCAAGAAACCTAAATCCAGGCAAGGAGTCTAATCCCGGCCACTAAGGCTAACTCCAGCCACTCACCTGGGGCGTCAAATAAATAGTCTGAAAGTGCTTCGTATGTCCCGGCGTCTTGAACACAGAGACCACGCAACGCCCCATCAGCGCGTTAAGCAACGACGACATGCCGACGTTAGGCTGGCCGACGCAGCCTATCGATAGAAGCCTAATTTCGGCCATTAAATCTAATACCGGCCTCGAAGCCTAACACCGGCCAAGAAGCCTAACACCGGCCACTAAGCCTAACACCGGCCACTAAGCCTAACACCGGCCACTAAGCCTAACACCGGCCAAGAAGCCTAACACCGGCTAAGAAGCCTAACACCGGCCGAGAAGCCTTACACCAGCCAAGAAGCCTAACACCGGCCAAGAAGCCTAACACCGGCCAAGAAGCCTAACACCGGTCAAGAAGCCTAACACCGGTCAAGAAGCCTAACACCGGCCAAGAAGCCTAACACCGGCCAAGAAGCCTAACACCGGCCATTAAACCTAATACCGGCCTCGAAGCCTAACACCGGCCAAGAAGCCTAACACCGGCCAAGAAGCCTAACACCGGCCAAGAAGCCTAACGCCGGCCAAGAAGCCTAACACCTGCCAAGAAGCCTAACACCTGCCAAGAAGCCTAACACCGGCCACGGAGTCTTTCAGGTAAGAAGCCTAATCCCGGCCACTAAGCCTAACTCCAGCCACTCACCTGGGGCGTCAAATAAATGGTCTGAAAGTGCTTCGTATGTCCCGTGTCTTGGACACGGAGACCACGCAACGCCCCATCAGCGCGTTAAGCAACGACGACTTGCCGACGTTAGGCTGGCCGACGCAGCCTATCGATAGTAGCCTAATTTCGGCCACGGAGCTTAATTTTAGGCAGGAAGCCTAATACCGGCCATTAAACCTAATACCGGCCTCGAAGCCTACTACCGGCCACTACGCCTAAAACCGGCCAAGAAGCCTAACACCGGCCAAGAAGCCTAACACCGGCCAAGAAGCCTAACACCGGCCAAGAAGACTAACACAGGCCAAGAAGTCTAACACCGGCCAAGAAGCCTAACACCGGCCAAGAAAACTAACACCGGCCAAGAAGCCTAACACCGGCCAAGAAGCCTAACACCGGCCAAGAAGCCTAACAACGGCCAAGAAGCCTAACACCGGCCACTAAGCCTAACACCGGCCAAGAAGCCTAACACCGGCCACTAAGCCTAACACCGGCCACTAAGCCTAACACCGGCCACTAAGCCTAACACCGGCCACTAAGCCTAACACCGGCCAAGAAGCTTAACACCGGCCAAGAAGCCTAATTTCAGGTAAGGAGCCTAATCCCGGCCACTAAGGCTAACTCCAGCCACTCACCTGGGGCGTCAAGTAAATGGTCTGAAAGTGCTTCGTATGTCCCGGCGTCTTGGACACGGAGACCACGCAACGCCCCATCAGCGCGTTAAGCAACGACGACTTGCCGACGTTAGGCTGGCCGACGCAGCCTATCGATAGAACGCCGGACTTGTAGCGCTCGTGGGAATAGAAAGACGTGTCGGCCTTTTCCAAAATTGTCTCTCCTGTGGACAAACACAAAAAGTTGAAAGTCAAAGGTCAAAAATTTGAAACAAAAAACTGTATTTTTATGGCGATTTATAAATAGCCAAGTGTGGGAGAGCCAAGCTTCGGCACGAATGGGTCAGCTCGACCTTACAGAATACCGACGTGAAACAACTACAGCGTTGTGTTTCGCCGTGTGAGTGAGGTTACCGGAGGCCCAATCCTTCCCCTCCACCGATCCCTCCCAATGCGTAAATCTCCAAAACCCTAATCCCTAATAGTTCGGCAACGCACTCGTAATTACTCCGTTGCGGGTGTCCATGGGTGGCGCTGATTGCTTACCATCAGGTAATCCGTCTGCCGACATATTCCATAAATAAAATGGGTTGCAAACAATTATATTATAAGTAAAATGGTGTAGATAGGTTACCTAAACAAAATTCGATTTTCAAAAACGACACACTGATACACACATGAACAATTCGTATGTTTAGACGTCAAAGTGAGATGGCATGATTCAATAATCGCGAGTGAAAAAGAGACAAATATGAAAAAGTATGGCTAGTTAGTTACATTTTAATGTATCACTTGCTGAGAGCTTGTAACCTATCTACACCTTTTTACTTATAATGTCATTAATTGCAGACGTTAAGGTGATAAGGGATTTTGAAATTGGGGCCTGCGATAAGGGTTTCGGATCTCGACTGCACGGTTGGTGCGGTGGTTGAGCAACTGGCTGCCGTGCAACGTGTCGCGGGTTCGATTCCCACACGGAGCAACTCTTTGTGTGATCCACAAATTGTTGTTCCATGGGTCCGGGTGTCATGTGTATGTGAAATTGTATGTTTGTAAACGCACCCACGACACAGGAGAAAATCCTAATGTGGGGCAACGTTTTTAAAAAAGAAATATTTAAGGATTGAAGGGGTGGGGAGGGATTGGGCCTTCGGTAACTTTACCAACACGGTGAAACACAACGCTGTGGTTGTTTCACGCCAGTTTTCTGTAAGGCCGTGGTATCACTCCGGTAGAGCCGATCTATCCACCTAAAGAAGGGGGGATTTTGTACTCACCAATCTGAGCTCCCTCATCATAATCGAACTCTACATCAGTCTCTTCTTTAATCTTCTTCTCCCAAGAAGAGAGATCCACTTCTCCCTTGACGATCTCCTTGCAGGCTTCAAGGATCTTAGTCGCACCTTCTGCGCACATACGCTGCTTACCTTTACGACGTCTAACTTGTAAACCTGAAAAGGATTGAATACGATTTTAGTATTTTTAATGTATAACTAGCTACTCTCTCGCGATTTCACCCGCTGCTTGGATCCATTTAATCGTAGCGTGATGTTTTATAGCCTATAGCACTCAGGAACATTGTAGCTATCTATCAGTGAAAGAATTTTGGCAATCCGACCAGCGGTTCCAAAGACAAAGACGGTTCCCTACATACAAACTTACAAATTTTACCTCTTTATAATATTAGTATAGATAAAATAAGACTATCACCCGGTTTCTGAAAGGCTTGTCAACGCTAAAATTAACTAATCTCCTGTTAAATCTCTTGTCAAGTCATCTGATTGGTTGTTGATAATTCAGTCAACCAAACAGATGACTTGACAAGAGATAATTTATAGAATCAGGCGTTACTTTGCGGAAATCCGTGACATTAAATGTTAGGAAAAATATTTAGTTTTAATTCCGCGACAAAAATCCATGTGTGTGATTGCATACGAGTGTGGAATCCCACTCTTATGCAATCATGCATATGCACATGCAGCAAGGGTTACATGCATATGTACACATAAAAAAAACGGAAAAACATGGCACGCAATCAAACCTAAGCTCGACACGTGTTTCGCCCCTCCACAGGGCATCCTCTGTTTTGTGAATGTGTGCATATGCATGTTACCCTTGCTGCATGTGCATATGCATGATTGCATAGGAGTGGGATTGCATCCTGCAACAAGCTTGGATTTTTGTCGGGGAATTAAAACTAAATATTTTTCCTAACATTTAATGACTTGACAGGAGATTAAATTGATTTTAACATTGATCGGCCTTTCGGAAACCGGGTGTAAATAAATGAATAAGTTTTTAAATTACTAACCTGCCTTATCGCTGGTCACTCCGCGCAGATTATAAGAAGGGCAAGAAGTGAAATATAGCACTCTGAGGGCAGGGTACGCTGTTGTCAGGTACTGTTTCCATCCAGCGACAACTGAAGACGGTACCAAGTCAATTTTATTCAGAACAAGGATCATATCTTTATTCTGTTCTTGTATATATGTGTAGAGGGAAGGCGGAAACATCATGCCCTAAAAAAATAAAAATAATCAAAGATATTTTTTTGTTAAGAAGCTCTGGTATAAAGTTGTCGCATACTAGGATTTTTTCCTGTGTCTTGGGTGCGGATACAAACATATAATTTCACATACATATCACACACAGACACGGAACAATAATTTGTGGATTACACAAAGAGTTGTTCCGTGCGGGAATCGAAACCGCGACGCGTTGTAAGGCAGCCAGTTGCCAACCGTGCAGTCAAAATATATGTTTATAAGGACACCTTTGCTAGCCGTATTTCTGACAGGTGATATTATCAGTGACTAGGAACTCCCGCGCGGTTTTACCCGCTGTTTTTTTTAATGTAATATTTCGGCAAACGAGCAGACGGATTACCTGATGGTAAGCAAACAGCTCCGCCCATGGACACACGCAACGGAGCATTTAAGAGTGCGTTGCCAACCTTTCAGGGATTAGGGATTTGGAGATTTAGGGATTGAGGAGGGATTGGGGGAGGGGAAGGATTGGGCCTCTGGTAACCTCACTCACACGGCGAAACGCAACGCTGTGGTTGTTTCACGCTGGTTTTCTGTGAGGCCGTGGTATCACTCCGGTCGAGCCGACCCATTCGTGCCGAAGCATGGCTCGCCCACCCTTGCTCGGCTCCATTTGGCAGTAGCGTGATGTTTTATTAGCCTATAGCCTTCCTCAATAAATGGAATAACGAACACAAAAACAACTGTTCAATTCGAACCAGTCGTTTCCGAGATTAGCGCGTTCAAACAAAGAATCAAACTCTACAACTTTATAATTTAAATACATATTGTGTGTTTTAATTGACAACAAAGCCAGAAACGATATAAGATTTAAAAACAAAAGCATTTTTTAAAGCGCCAGTCTGACTCGAAACCTGTCGAGCGTACTCGTTTTTTTTCATCTATACTAATATTATAAAGAGGTTAAAATTTGTAAGTTTGTATGTAGGGGGTAATCTTTGGAACCGCTGGTCGGATTGCCAAAATTCTTTCACTGATAGATAGCTACAATGTTCCTGAGTGCTGTAGGCTATAAAACATCACGTTCCGATCAAAATAATTGAGCCCGGCAGCGGGTGAAACCGCGCGAGAGTAGCTAGTATGACATAAATAATGAAATTCAAATAATACTCACAGCATACCGAACGTCCACAATGAGGAGTAGTATATCACACATCTCCAGTACCCTCCACAACTGTCTCCAAGTCTCCAAGTTCAGTTCGAAGTAAGACATGTTTTTCCAGTGTTGAGATGCTTGGAGACCGTCTACGTAATTCTGTAAGATAAAATATAAACATATTTAGATATGACTAGCTTTTGCTAGCGTGAAATTGTGACTTCCTGCAGTTTTCTTTGGTATAAAAACTATCCTATGTCCTTTCTCAAGTTCTAAACTATGTCTGTACCGAATTTCACACAAATCGGTTCAGTAGTTTAAGCCTGAAGAAAAGACAGGCAGACAGACAGAGTTACTTTCGCATTTATAACATTAGTTTGGAAATTTGGATTAGCTGATGGTAAAAATTCGGTTTCGCCGCTAAGGAGTTGCGAGTGCGTTGCCGGCCTTTTCGACTTGGGCCTCTGGTATGGGACAAGCCGACCACAACCTCCCAAAATTGCTATAACTCTTGTAAGCCAGGATCTACAGTAGATACAACCATAAAAACACCGGAACACTGAAGTCCCAGGGACATGAAAGACTGTCTTGGATCCCGCAACCGCAATCCCTCCCCAATCTCTAAATCTCCAAATCCCTAATCCCAAACGTTCGGCAACGCACTCGTAACTCCTTTGTTGTTGCAGGTGTCCATGGGCGGCGCTGATTGCTTACCATCAGGTAATCCGTCTGCTCGTTTGCCGATCTATCACATATCTCTTTTTTAATAATGTTAAACCTAAATAACTCTTATTTCAACATATATAGATATGATATTACCTTGAAATACCTCTGTTCTTGTGCGTCTAATTGTGCTGGTGTCATATTGAAGTCCCATGGCGGTCGCTTTGGGAACGATAAGTCCACAGGAAAGTAGTCTACAGGATTAACTTCCAAGTCTTTCTCTGGTACCGGATTCAGTTCTTTTCTGTAGACAATTTATACATTTTTTTACTCAGTAGTAATTTTAATTCAATTTGGAACCCCACTGGCTTCGCACGCATATAAAAATGATGTTTTTTTTTTATGTAATAAGTAGGCAAACGAGCAGACGGATTACCTGATGGTGGGTAACAGAGGAGTTACGAGTGCGTTGCCGACCTTTTAGGGATTAGGGATTTGGAGATTTAGGGATTGGGGAAGGGTCCGGGAAGGGGAAGGATTGGGCCTCCGGTAACCTCACTCACACGGCGAAACACAACGCTGTGGTTGTTTCACGCCGGTTTTCTGTGAGGCCGTGGTATCACTACGGTCGAGCCGACCCATTCGTGCTGAAGCATGGCTCTCCCACACTTAATGTATTTGGAATTTAAAAAACAGCAGCATTCAAAGCGATAGCTTGATTAAAATACGCTAATCAAGTATAATTTATAACCTACTAGCAGACCACCCCTGCTTCGCACGGGTATCCGACTACCCCGGGTGTCAGTCATTTGTTTTGCAAGCGAACGGCTACGACGTCGAAAGGGTTGTTAATTACCGCTATTCCTCTTTACTTTTCTAAAGCTTTCTCTCGTAAGAACCTTCTCCTTATAATAACGAACATAACAAAAAAAAAAGAATTAGCAAAATTGGTCCAGGCGTTATTGAGTTATGCGCTTAGCAACACATTTTGCGATTCATTTTTATAATAGCCTACTAGCTGTTGCCCGCTACTTTGTTCGCATGAAATTGTAGTGACTTCCTGCAGATTTTTGGTTTAAAAACTAACCTATGTCCTTCTCGAGTTCCAAACTATGTCTGTACCAAATTTCACAGAAATCGGTTCAGTAGTTTAGGCGTGAAGAAAAGACAGACAGAGTTAATTTCGAATTTATAATATTAAGTTTGGATAGCACTCAGGAACATTGTAGCTGTCTAGCTGTGAAAGAATACTGAAAATACGACCAGTGGTTCCAAAGATTACCCCTTATATACAAAATTACAAATTTTACCTCTTTATAATACATTTTGTTTGTTTTATGTGCCTGTGGTCTAAAATATCTTTTTGCGATTGCGATGCGATCGCGCGCTATCGCATTCCGCAGATAAAAAAGGCGATCGCACAAAAAGGTAAAAGGATGCGTTAGAATGCTATCGCAAGCTTCAGCGTTCCGAAGTCTCCCTACCGACCATTGCATTTTGTCCGTGATGCCGATCGCCTCGAGGATTCCGCCGCGTGCTATCGCATTTTGCTTTCTGTCTCAGTCTAGCAAATGGCAGTTCTAAGCGACAGAAAGAGTAAGGCGACTCCGTGCTTCCAGATGAGGTCCAACTAGGGAATGCAACCCGGTTTTACCGAAATTCGAAAACCCGGGTTTTTGTGATATTTTAAACGGTAAAAAAACTCGATTTTTTTTTAGCCACGTTTCCGGTTTTTCGGTGTTTTCGGTTTTTTTAATGGCAACACGAAGAAGTGAAGACTAGGCTGCATGGGCTCACGCTCTTTGCCTTCCCTTACATGGGAGAATCATAAAGAAAAAAGGGATGTTTGTTTAGGTATTATTACTCTTCTCTGTGGTTTGTTTCTATAATTTAATAAGTTTTAGCTATTTTCGAAGTAAAAAATATAGAATTAAAGTAAATTTATCGTACAATTTCAAGTGTTCATGGTGCAGTACAGTTTTTTCTGTTATTTAAATATTATTGTAGGTAGATGCACTAGAGTACAGACAGTTCCTATAAATACTTTAAAAAGTAAAATATTCTTTAAGCAATGTTTAATGATTTGTTATTTTCATTTTCAGTCATTTTCAGTATCTTAGCTGTAGCTGTTCTATCAACACGATAATTATGTTTATTCAGTGAATTACTTGTCTAAAGTTGATTATTGTAAGACTGATTGTTAACGATTTCATAGTTTTACGAAAACTATATCTAAATAAATTAAAGTTATTTTCCTTTGATCACGATTTTTTATTCGTTTCCATGCAGTTTATATAAAAAAGTACTTACAAAAAAAAAACTCGTTTTAAACCCGATTTCACCGAAAACCGGGTTTTTTAAAATAGAACTCGAAAATAAACCCGGTTTTAAATTTTGGCGGGTTTTGCATTCCCTAGGTCCAACCCTATGAGACTAGGATCAAATACACACATTTTTTTTTCGTCGGAAAAATATATTTTTTTTATGAAAAAGGTCCAAAACTCACAGCGCTTCTTCCTTCTTCATCTTCAGTTCCTCCTCTGTCTCTCTGTAAAATTTGAGAGCATATCTGTTCGTGTCTCGACCTCCTCTACCTCGCGTCGGCTGGTAGTTCACTGAGACCACGTCACAGGAGGTCGTGCCAGACGAAGCTGTGGGTTAAAGATAAGAAAAGATAAAAGATAAAGATAAAGCTAAAGATAAAGATAAAAGATAAAGATAAAATATAAAAGATAAAGATAAAGATAAAGATAAAGATAAAAGATAAAAGATAAAAGATAAAGATAAAAGATAAAGATAAAAAATAAAGATAAAAGATAAAGATAAAAGATAAAGATAAAAGATAAAGATAAAAGATAAAGATAAAAGATAAAGATAAAAGATAAAGATAAAAGATAAAGATAAAAGATAAAGATAAAAGATAAAGATAAAAGATAAAGATAAAGATAAAAGATAAAGATAAAGATAAAAGATAAAAGATAAAGATAAAGATAAAAGATAAAGATAAAAGATAAAGATAAAAGATAAAGATAAAGATAAAGATAAAAGATAAAGATAAAAGATAAAGATAAAAGATTAAGATAAAAGATAAAGATAAAAGATAAAGATAAAAGGTACACAACATGCAACACTTACTGGACATTAGAAGTGTCTTGTTCTGTTTCTTGGATTGTAGCTGCTGCTTCTTAGCTTTCCCGCTGAATGGGGTCTTCCGCCGAGCCTGCGGCATTGTGGCTTAGTTCTGAAAGCAATAAACAACATCAAGAAATTATCTATCTAAGATCTTATCGCAACAATGCCCCACACTAAGGTTTTCCCTTGTTTTGTAGGTGGATTCACACCGAGACACGGAACAATTATTTGTGGAGTTGTTTCGTGAGGTAGCCAAGCCTATCGCGCACGCATGCAGTCATTCAGTAGGACGTAATGCCAAAACAAAATTTTATAATGAATTATCTGAATTATAGATTATAAATTGTTATATTTGTGAACGAAATGAAACATTATGTTTCGTACGTAATAGAATAATTTTCCAGTCTGTCTGTCTGTTCATCGGTAAAGTTAGGTGCTCCTTACTAAACCTAAACTTTTATTTAACAAATCGTTATTTTCCCGCATTGTTTAACTTGTTAATAACTTTAGAAAACAGCACAGAATTCGATACGAAACAATCGGACCAAAATCCAAAGCAATTGACGCAGTTTCATATGCACTTAGACTAAAGTGGAATTGGGCAGGACATGTAGCAAGGTTACACGACAATAGATGGACAAAAAAATAACAACATGGAAAAGACCGACAGGACCGCGTACATCGAGGGATTGGAACAGTTTGCCGGCTGCAGTTTTTCCGTCCGAATACAATTTAGGTGTCTTCAAGGCTAGAGTGAATAGGCTCTTAATAAACTAGTGCGCCTTACCATCAACGATTGCATCACTGCTTACCATCAGGTGGGATCGCAGTCAAGCACTAGTTTATTGCAAGTAAAAAAAAAAGGAAAAAGAAAAGAGGGAGACCGCACACGATGGAAGGACGATATCCTGCGTGCGGCTGGAGTATGCTGGCTAGACACAGCAAAAGATCGCGAAAAATTGCAGTCTCTGGAAGAGGTCTTCACCTCTCGACGCTTACTTGACGGACAGATCCGTCATCTACCCCGGGCCACCGGGGCGTCTGGAATCGGCGAGAGATGTCGCGCGGTGTCCCAAAGGGATCGGTCCTGGGGCCTCTCCTGTGGAAAATCGGGTACGATTGGGTGCTACGCATCGACCTCCCGAGCGGCGTCAGTATAGTTTGCTACGCTGACGAAATGCTGGTGCTGGCGACCGGGAGGTCGCACCAGGCGGCGGCCGAACTAATTTCACAAGCCGTTGCGATAGTCGTTGCTAAATTCCGGCAATACCCTGCGCGGGAGAAATCATTTGAAGACTTTCCCTTGACAAAAAAAAGGTGTGTGCTGCGAAAAAAAAGGAGTTCCCTAAAATTAAACTTAATGTAAAATATTTTTTTGTATTTGTTTGTAATTTTTTGTTTTTTAACTAGGAAATATAAGGCTTTTTTATTTTTATTTATTTAAAACTTAAAAATATGCATATTTAATTGATTTGGTAAATAATTTATGAAAAAAATTTTTTTTTTTGTTTTAGTCCGCAGTATTGTTAAGTTTGGCTTGAGGATATTGTAATTGTTAGGTATTTGATGTGAAGAATCATCCAGACATAGGTAAATAAGAGTAGGTAACTAATTGGGTAGTTTCCTAGGTCAAAAATAAATTAATTCGACATTTGAATATAATAAAATATTGAAAAATAACTATACTTTTATTCATCGATCGATCGATCGATACAGTGAATTTTGGATATTTTAAAGCTAATTTTTAAGAAATATATAATTTATTTGATGCAATAATACTATGACGATGACGATATGACGATATTTCATACAAATTTCATAGAAAAGTATTGTTTTTGACATTTGTATAAAAGTATTGCTTTTATGTCTTTTGACTAGTTGGAAACTCCATATTGTTATGCAGAGTAAGAAACAGAAAAATAAATAAAAAGCAATTTTTTCTAAAATACTCACTGCTATCTAATAAATAAATCTTTAGAATATACAAAACGATGCCTATTCAATATGTTTCAAGATAAAATTGTTTTTTTTATGAAAACTGTAATAACTGTTTTATTGAATGAAGAACAAGTAAGTCTTATATCTAAGGAAGAAAAAACAATATATATATATATATCAGATAAACATTATCATGTTAACAAATGAACTTGTTTATTACGAAATATAGTTATAAGCAGTGAAAACAAGTCATGCCGGGTGCGCCATTCTGATTTTTATCTAACCTGCATTCTAATTCTTCTTATTAGAACACATGAAAATTGAATTCTATGCGTGTAATACGGAAAGTTTCATGTAAAACATGCTAATTATTGATAAACACGCAGGTTCGATGTTATTTAACGTTTTATTTACATATATTTTAAACACGCGGTCGGCATGTTAATTTATTTGTGCTTAAAAATTATGATTATATGCGATATTGATTTACCTGTAAGCCGGTGGTGGAAAAAGTGTTATTTTTAAATAATTATCAAGAAGTTAAACAGATTAATTCGAGAATTTTCAAGTTGAATCTACAATCAGCCGTTCACAAGTTGTCACTTGTTGAAAGAATAAAAAACAGATGATCACGAATGATTAGTCATCTCTTTCTTTCCTCTGATGAAATGTTATTGCTAGAAGAAGACGGAAAATTACATGCTTTATTTATGAAATTTTATTTGGAACACAAACTTAATTGACAGATATTGAAAAAATGCGTTCATAGGTGGATTTTATTTAAATTTATTTATTTTTAATAACAATTATAAAAAATCACGCAGATCCATATTATAAAAAAAATCTAGTTACAAATCTAAATTGGATAAAGTAATAAGCCTTTGATTAGTTTATTTAGTTTGCCCACAGTGTTACGAATCTACAATTTACAGAAAAATAAGACAGCTAAAAATGCGACAGACATCAAGGCAAGCATAAATATTGGTTGTAGTTATTAATTTTGTTATTTTACTCCAAGATAGGACAAAAAAATATTAGTTTATAGTTGGTTTATACAAAAACATAATTCTCAAAACTCAAAACGCAAACGTCAATGACTAATCGAAGTGTCAACGAAAAACAACCTAATTTTCTAACCTACAAAACCGTGACATTTATTTTGTAAAAACATCAACGAAGCGTTCGAAAGCGTTTATTTACTGATACAACAATATAACACTACACAAAATAGCTCAATAATTCAAAATGTTGCCGCTATCGTTACTCCGTACGGCGCAGAACCATCCAATGCTTGTAGAACTTAAAAATGGCGAAACATACAACGGTCATCTCGTTAGTTGTGATAACTGGATGAATATCAACCTTAGAGAAGTTATTTGTACATCAAGAGATGGTGACAAGTTCTGGAGGATGCCCGAGTGCTATATCAGAGGCAGTACCATCAAATACTTGCGTATTCCCGACGAGGTTATCGATATGGTGAAAGAAGAGACTCAGGTACGTTTCCGTGTTTTTTTTTTATTATTTGTATGCAGTAGTCATACAAGCATTCAGCATTTAAGTTGGAGGTTTTGCAATAATATAACGTCTAGAAGTCGACAACGATAAAGCGGGGTTCAGACGTTACGATACGATTCCTCGGGACGCTGTCGGGCACTCTCGATCGCTTGATTTAGGGCTTACAGCCTAACAGCGATCATACCACACAACCCAATCCAGTGTTAACACTGCACTGGTTTCCGTGAATTTAAGACCATTTTCAAAATTATTTAATCAAGCAGTAAACTTACTTTTACTACTTAATATTGTGACAGAAACTCTTTGACATCATGACGTCAATGGATGGTTGTCAAACGTTGCCTAGAGATTGTAAATTTCGTCGTGAATTGTCAACACGAGTTGGTGTAATCGGTAAGGCGTGTGGATTACACCACAGAGACCCCGAGTTCGAGTCCCGCCGTAAACATGAAGTTTTTTAGTTGATGGAAGTTTTGTCGAACTTTCTGGAATATTTGAGTGAAAGTAATGAAAAATTAAGGAGCGAGAAGGAGAATAAATAAAAATGAATAACGAAATTATTGGAAGGTTCTGGAGGCATGACGATCAAAAAGAATAACGAAATTGAATGTTCTAGAACCTGACCGGGGGTATATAACCGGAACTGCGGCTCACCGCTGGCAGTTGAGTTCTAAGTCTAAAGCGATTCGGAAGAAAAGGAAGAAGTGAGAAAGAAGAAAAGTGAGTGAAATAGTGAAGTGCAGTGAAATAGTGAAGTGCAGTCAGTTAAGTGAGTTAAGTCAGCGTGAACGGCAAAGTTGTGTCAGTCGGCCGGACTCTGCTGGAGAGGAACGCCGATAACTTAACTCCGTGGACGCTGTAACTTAAGTGCAATAGAAAGTCTGAAAACCGGTATTAGTGTTTCATTTCATCCAATCCCGTAACCCAAGCCCGCATAGTCAGGAACGTGACGTCAGGCACGTAACATTTGGTGTCAGAAGTGGGATTGGAGAAAAATGCCGCTAGTGCCGCAGGACGTAAGAGGAGTGAGTACCCGTGCTATGTCAGAAGCGCAGCGTGTGAGGGAAGAGGGTGCTGCAGCTCAGACCAGCGATGCAGAAGCCAAGCCTGTGCAGATGGATCTTCTGCTACAGCTGCGGCAAATGATGGCAGAACAGCTGCGTGAGCTGAAAGAAGATCAAGCGCGCCGCCAAGAAGAGCAAGCACGCTGTCAGGCAGAACAGCTGCGGGAGCTGAAAGAAGATCAAGCGCGCCGCCAAGAAGAGCAAGCGCGCCGCCAAGAAGAGCAAGCGCGCCGCCAAGAAGAGCAAGCGCGCCGCCAAGAAGAGCAAGCACGCTGTCAGTCAGAACAGCTGCGGGAGCTGAAAGAAGATCAAGCTCGTCGCCAAGAGGAGCAAGCGCGTCGCTTGGAGGACATGCATAAAGATTTCACGAAGGGACTGCAAAAGGCTGTCGAACGGGTACAAGAAGTGGAGGAAGGGTTAGGCAAGTTGAAACTTCGCGTCATGGCGATAGAGGAGAGATTGGAAGAAGAGATCTCCAAAATCAAGCAGGAAGTGACAAACCCAAGCCCTTTGAAGAGCCGAAGCCGTCTTGCAGCCGTTTTTGACGCCCCAAATGCGGCCTTAAGCGCAACGAAAGGGCTCAAGATTCCCCATTACGACGGAACAACATCCTGGACCGCGTTCAAGCTACAGTTTGAGACACTTATGGAGGCTTATGGTTGGACTCAGAAGGAAGCACAGTCAGCCCTTACCCTGGCTCTCCGTGATCAAGCGCTCTCAGTGCTGGAAGCTATCGGCGCAAGTGGGGATCTCAGCTTTAGTGCCCTCCTCGACGCACTTGAAGCACGTTTTGGAGACAGCCACCTCGAGCACGTGTACAGAGCGCAATTAAAAGAGCGTACTCAGCGTGCTAATGAGAGCCTACAGCAATGGTCCGTGGAAATCGAGAAACTTGTACGTCGAGCTTTCCGGTCGACTCCGTCAATGATTGAAGGCACGCTTCTCCAAGCGTTCATTGACGGTATTCGGGACCCAGAAGTACGAGCTGCTGTTCATCTGGGCCATCACAAGATCATGAAAGAAGGTCTGGCTCATGCATTGGAAGTGGAAGCCGTGCGTGGCAACTCCCGTACCTTACGTCTGCGGGAAATGACGACAACGGAGCAGGTACCTCCACGCCGTCGGAACTTCATGTGCTATGGATGTGGAGAGCGTGGGCACATACGGAGCGACTGCCCGAAGAAGATGAACCGCAAGGACGCGGCGGTCTCAACTTCTGACCAGCAGGGAAACTTAAATCCAGCCAGGGCTGCGGGGTGGGCGCCGGCTGGTAGTGGAACAACCCCAACAATCTACATCAAGCAAACCAACGATGGAAATACTCTGGTGATAGACGGTCAAGTAAATGGGAAAAACAGTCAGCTAACATTAGATACTGGAGCTTCAAGGACGGTGATAAATGTTCGGCTGCTCGAGCACAACATCAGGAAACACCTTAAACCAATTGTTGGCCTACAAATGAAATCAGCTACCGGCCAGTGCATACCGATAAGTGGAAAACTGCATGTAACAATCAAAATTGGGGAACGTGTTTATCGACATGAGGTTATTGTGGCCAAAATTCTGGATGACTGCATCCTGGGACTTGACTTCCTGCAAGGGCACCAGTGTAACATCGACCTAAAATCTGGAGTATTACTATGTGGAACTGAGGAAATTCCGATGAAGGGTGGAACCCTGGGAAAAGTTTGCTGTTTAAGAAGAACTGTTCTTGCACCAAAATCACAGACTCTCGTACCAATTGCATTACCTAGGAGGAGGGAAGGAAGTTTACCTCGAAGGTGCGCTGTGATTGATAAATCGGAACACGTAAACTCATGGCTACCGGCAAGAACTGTCGTGGGGTCATCTGATGTTAACCGCATTCCGGTATTCAACTTCAGTGATTCAGAAATTACGATTGAAGAAGGAGAGCCTGTGGGCGTATTGGAAGAAGTGGCCTGGATAAGAAAATGCTCGGAAAATCTTGTGAAGAAGGACAGTACGGGAATAGACTTTGTAACGAAAATCTTAGACGAAAACAAAAGTCTGACAAAAGTGGAGACTATGAAAGCTAGAAATTTACTTCTTCGATTCTCTGATGTGTTTTCAAGAAGCGATGGTGATATTGGCCGAACTGGTTTGGTGAAGCATAAAATAAACACAGGTGATACAATGCCAATTCGTCAAAGGCCCAGACGTATACCATTCGCTCGTGAGAAAGAGGTTGAAGAAATGATTGACGATATGAGGAAAAATGACGTGATAGAGCCCTCTTCTAGCCCTTGGTGTTCACCTGTCGTGCTTGTCAAGAAGAAAGATGGTTCAACGAGGTTTTGCGTAGACTATCGACGATTGAATGATGTAACCAAGAAGGATAGCTACCCGTTACCAAGAATCGATGACACACTTGACACACTGAGTGGCATGAAATGGTTTTCAACGCTCGATCTGAAAAGCGGCTATTGGCAGGTGGATTTGGATCCCAAGGACAAGGAAAAGACCGCATTCTCAACTGGGAAGGGACTCTGGCAATTTAAGGTGATGCCATTTGGATTATGCAATGCACCGGCAACCTTTGAGCGTTTGATGGAACAGGTGCTGGTGGGACTGCTGGGCGAAACCTGCCTAGTTTACCTCGATGACATCATCATTGTTGGACGGGATTTTGACGATCATCTAAGGAAATTGGAAAAGGTACTCGACAAGCTGCGTGGAGCAAATTTAAAGTTGAGTCCAAAAAAATGCTCTTTCTTCAAGCGCGAAGTGAATTATCTAGGACATGTTATTTCTGAGAGAGGAATTGAGACTGATCCAGCCAAGACTGTCGCTGTTAAGGAATGGCCAACACCTAAAGACAAAACGCAAGTTCGGGCATTTCTTGGATTGTGCTCGTATTATCGGCGGTTTGTGAAAGGATTCTCGGACATTGCCAAGCCATTGCATCGATTGACAGAGGAGAAACGTGCCTTTATCTGGGACGAGGATTGTGAGCAAGCCTTTCGAGAACTAAAAGAACGGCTTTGTAACACACCAATTCTCGGATACCCCAGCGCGAAAGGAATATTCGTAGTTGATACGGATGCCAGCAATATTGGAATAGGAGGTGTCCTTTCACAACGCGATGGTGAGCAGGAGAAGGTTATTGCTTACTTCAGCAAGTCACTATCCAAGCCGGAGAGGAATTATTGCGTGACCAGGAGGGAATTGCTGGCCGTAGTCAAAACTCTGCACCATTTCAAGAAGTATTTACTGGGACGGAAATTTTTGATCAGAACTGATCACGCTGCTTTGAAATGGCTGCTTCAGTTTAAGGATCCCGAAGGCCAAGTAGCCAGATGGTTGGAACAACTTCAGGAATTTGACTTTGATATCGAACATCGCGGAGGAAGAATTCATGGCAACGCAGATGCATTATCGAGACGCCCATGCGTGGAAGATTGCAAGCATTGTGCCAAGAAGGAAACTGCTTTTCTTAAGGTGATAAGGACTGATACTGTTGACGAGGCATGGGGAGATGATGCGATGAAATTAGAACAGGAAAGAGATGCAGATATTAAACCAATACTGGAGTGGGTACGAAGTGGTAACAAGCCAAGTTGGAGTGACGTCGCCCAATATAGCGCGGTAACGAAAGGTTTATGGGCACAGTGGAAAAGCCTTACGCTGCATAACGGACTTCTGTGCAGGAAATGGGAATCAACAAACGGCAAGGACGAGCATTTGCAATTGGTGGTGCCTCGTTCAAAAATAAGGGATGTATTAAAAGCGTTCCATGATGGATCTTCTGGAGGACATTTGGGAATTAGGAGGACTTTGGTGAAGATCAAGGAGAGGTTTTATTGGTTGCATTGCAAATATGACGTCGAAGATTGGTGCCGGAAATGCACTAGTTGTGCAGCTGTCAAGGGTCCACAAACAAGAAGCAGAGGGGCGATGAAAATCTACAATGTTGGTATGCCTTGGGAGAGAATAGCCTTAGACATCGCTGGACCATTTCCAATCACTGATTCGGGCAATCGCTACGTTTTAGTGGTTATGGATTATTTTACAAAATGGCCGGAGGTCTTTGCCATACCGAATCAAGAGGCAGTAACTGTAGCCACGAAGTTGGTAAACGAGGTATTCACCCGATTCGGAGTGCCCTTGGAGATGCACAGTGATCAAGGACGGAACTTTGAATCCCAAGTTTTCCAGGAAACTTGTAAACTTTTGGGAATCCATAAGACTCGAACGACCCCTTATCATCCACAGTCAGATGGAATGGTCGAACGCTTCAACCAAACATTGGAGCGACACTTAGCAAAGGTGGTTGACAGCCATCAGAGAGATTGGGACACTTACATACCTCTCTTCTTGCTTGCCTATCGGACTGCTGTACATGAAAGTACCGCAAAGACGCCTGCATTTGCAAATTT